ATTTTTTTTGTTTGTTAACTGAACTGTGTCCTTATCTTTTCTCTCCCTTTGTTTCCCTTCATGACTGTGACAGTTTGGATCCCCTCTCCACCACCCCCCTCCCCCTGAAAGCATTATTTCCTGTTTCATGAAAGGCATACAAACTTCCTGAACATCACCAGGATGATGCAATACTGAAAACAGGGTGAAACCATCACTGTCTCCAGCGCCTTTTGATTCTCCTCCATGGTCGAGGCTGGGGTGTCCACAAAGCTCTATGAGCAGCATTATTTCTAGTGACATTTATTTCACATCTAAGTGGCTTTGAGTGATTTGAGGCTGACCCTCAACCTAGAAAGAGAAGGTGCCTTCTCTTTGGTGCAAATCCAAAAAGGCAGAATCCAGCCATATCAAAAACACAAGCTGTGGAAATGGTGACAGCTTGGAGAAGAATATACTCAGCACAGCTCACTGAAGAACTTAGCTGTCTGCTTTATAGCAGAAGCTGGTTGTCAAAAAAAAATGTTTACAGAGACACTGTCATGTAATATTAGCCTTGCCAGAATGCATTGAATACTTAGGATCTGCCAGCGTTGGGTCTAAGAATGTCATGTACATAATTTCATATGTAATTTGTACAACAATTTCATGTGTTAAGATAGTGGTTTTAGGATTCCTTGAAAGGTGACAGAAGGTTTAAGAAACTCTCCTGGTGAAAGACGGTGTTCTGGTTTACCCTGACATTTTGTCTGTGTGACTTGTACATCTCTGAGATCTAGGACAAATAGAGTAGGAAAATGGGTAGAAAGCCTGGAAGACCAGGCTTTGGGGTTTGGGGTTCTCGTCTTAAACCTATCATTGTTTTCGTATCGCTCTTAGGGAAGTCACTTTCCTCCTCAATGAAATGAAATTAGATTCTGTCCGTTATCAACTCCCTAACATTTTCTGATTCTAAGCCTTACTGTTTGAGGATGGGATTTTGGGGGGGGGGTCTTTTGGTTTTGTTTTCAATAATAATAAGTACTTTTGCAACTGAAATTGTGTATGGGATCTCAACAAAGAAACAGCTAGCAGAACTTCTCTGGTTGAATCGGGATTGGGGCACGGAAGCCTGCTCTCCTGTCCTGTGAAAGGTTCTTGTTTTCAGCATGAACCATCCCTGGCTACTCCTGGGTTTGAATTGAGAACAGTAGGACCTCATGATTGCAGTTTGAAAACCAATGATGAGCCCTTCATCTGTCCTATTTCATGCAAAGGTGGCCAAGTACATGAACTTTCAGAGTATGAGATCCTAAGTATTAGAAATGACATGCTACTTTGTAAAGTGCTGCTGCAAATGACATCTTATACTACTCCAATCATCTTGCCCCCAGGGCCCAGTAACTGTGATGTTTCCTGGAGCAGTCCTCAACCAATGAGGACAAGAGCTACTGTACAGATAGTTCAGCTTCCTCACCTCTCATGTGGGATGACTTCAAGGTGCATGATTTGTACTGCCTCCTAGAATGCTCTAGCAGAACTAATCTCCAGTCATGCATGGCAATAACTTGCTTGATTCCATGTCATTTACTGGCTGCCTTTCTTGCTTTTTGGACCCTCGCTCCCTTACTGATCCAGCTTCTACTTCTTTTAAGGTGTATTTTCTGGGTCAGTGCAGACAAGAATACTATTTATATTTGTTTCCCTCTGACAGAAGCAAAGGAATCATTATTGCTTAGCTATGAGAGTAACTGGGGATCTGAAATTTTTCTTCTTTGCTTTTCTATTTGTAACTGATTTTCTATGCTGCACATATGTTAATTTGATGCTAACATAACAATCTTTTAAAAATAGTTCTTGTGGGTTTTCTTTTTTACTTAATGATTTTATTACCTTTAGTTGTACAAAGGCTTTTCAATGCAACACGTCAGTTTGTGAGTATAAGGCATCTTGATGAATGTCAGCTTATTGTATAAATACATTTTGCTTCTTTTAAGTTGAGAATATTTGGTCGTTTTCTAAAATATCAGAGAAAGAGTATAGACACGATGCCTTAGGTGAGTCTTGCTGTGGCAGAATATTACTACCTTTGTAGAAGTATGGTAGAGATGACAAAAAATATGTAAAAATCTACAATAAACATGTCAGAAAATGCTCTCTAAAACATCAGTGGGCCAATGAATATTATGAGATTTTATTTGACTGGAAACTTACGTGGGTGACATGTGTTATGGGACTTTTAAAATACTCTTATCACTCAAGCCTCTAAACTGCAGCCTCACTGGAGAATGCAAATGCTCTGTTTGCACTTAGAAAAGTCATTGTTACCAGCATCGAGTAACAGGAAATCACTAGGAGCAGGTTATGTACAATCACCTTGACCTCTGCTACTGGGAGGATCGCACTCTATCCAAGGCCATGTTGATGGTCTCTTCCGCAGCAACAAGGCTTTGAGATGGTTTGGGCATGATGGCATTCCCTGTTCTGAAAAGCTGGGTGGGTTGTCAGAAGCATGTCACTGAGGAATTTATGCCAAAGTATCAACCTAAGGTAAAGTCTGTGTCCTTAAGGAAAAATTGCCTAGGTAATAAGCAGTTTATTATATGGTGTTATGGTGTGTTTCAAAGGGTTACAAACGACCAAGAGTGGCATTTTCAGTGGTTACAGAGCCTATAAAGATAGCGTCAAACACGAAAGCCATTGGAGCAAAGTAAATAAAATGAGGTAAGGGTAGGCTCCATCCCATGATGTTCCCCAAGATAAGTTCATGGCCAGCCATATTAGTGGTGGATAATAACTGACCTATCCCTAATGACAGAAAAGGACCAGGGACCATTGTGAGAGTACAGGACACCAGAGACACACTAATGAATAGGTCTCCATAGAATTCCAAAGGGTAGGCAAAACGGAGAGGCCTTGTTGCCTACATTGGCACAATTGGCAGGAGCCGGGTTAGAAAGGAAGCAGGTGGATGGTCGTAGGCAGCGGCTGCTCTCAAAGTATGGCCTTAGTCTGCAGAGGTACTCTCAAGTATCACTTGTGAGCTTGTTAGAAATGAAAATGGGGACAGGCTGACAATCTATACTTTACCAATCCCCAAACACATTCTGAAGTATGAGAGTTGCTCATCCAAGCCACAGAAACAAGCTTTGTCAAAAGCAACATTTTCACAATGACCCCATACCAAGAGCTTCTTGCTCGTGTGGTTATCAGTCCCTCAATGTGAGTTCTACTTGGTCTTCAGGTTCAGTTTAAACATATATATATATACATTGTGAGTAATCCCACTGCACCTGCATATTTTAAGTGCTATTTGCTAAGCAATGTGCTAAACATTTCCTTAGCAGACTGAATCCTAACAACTCTATGTAACAGGAATTTTTGCAATCCCTGTTAGAGATGAAGACATACAAAATACTTTGGCAGCATTCATTCTCATCTACCCTCTCTACTGGTTCTCAACACTCCAACTAGGACCAGCTCCCCACCACTCCAATACATTTTGGTGATTCATTTTCTTCTATTTTCCTCTCATATTTTCCCATATATTAATTATAATAAAGGTTTCTCTTGGCCTTCCTTTTAAATGATTCAGGTCATGGCTTCAGTCAATGTCAACCAGAATTTGGTTCCTGGCTAGTTTGGTTTTTGTTTCTCCCTCTCTCTCTATGTTCTTAGAGTTTTTGTGACTGATGTCCACCCTTGCCCCAGTTGCTGAGAGATATCTGTGACTGACTTCACCATTGACCTGAGAATATATTCCTCTCCTCGCCCCCCCCACCAAATGTCACTCTTTGGAGACTATATTATCAAGAGCCAACTTGAAGTTCTTCTCTGCATAATTCACCATAAACTGCCTTGCTCCCTGCCTGTGCATTAATAGCATATCATTTCCCTTCCTTATACACAAAGCCACAGGAACACTTAATCTTACATCCTGTTGAGGTTCTTTGAAGGCTGGTGTCCTAATCACAGTAATCATGGAGGGGTGGTCATGATCAGGGATGGAGTTTGATTCTTTGCCTGCCTCATGTTTAAGCTTTTCATTTTCATATTCTTCTCTATGATTTGTAATAAATGCCAAACATAGCTCAAGGCCAGGAAAAAGGTTTAACATTAGCCAAGATACAATGAGTACTATTGGAAAAGTAAAACTTTCACATGGCAGGTTAACCTTGAAGAATATATATATATATATATATATATATATAATGTACATATATATTGTATTAGATCTACCATGAACCTTAATTGACAGTTAATCCATAAGAACATTGCTATGTATACTACCTGTATTTATCATAGACTAGAGAAATTGGTGGTTGAAAAGATTAAATTCACAGAATGAATGTATGAACAAATGAAGAACAAGGTAGCCAGACCCAGGTGACCCCTTTCCTGTGCTAAGTCTTAACATGTCCTATGGGGCTGTCACCTCTCTGATCATTGACTTCCTCATCTGTAAAACAGACATAATTTTAAAACAGGATTTTTAAGAATACTATACAAAATAATACCAAATATACAGCTTTGCTCTCATAGTAAACAACAACTTATTGAATCATAACTGTTCGCATTACTCTTCTATGAGTATTATTCACAGCTCTGAGTTTGTAGTTTGATCTTTATTACTTCCTCCTCTTTTAGGCAGTTCTCTGTGAACCAATTCTTACCTTTTGTCAATTGCAGAGTCACAATAGCCATCTTTTAAGGCACACTGTCATTTCAAAGCCCTGGCTAAATACAACCAAGAGTGACAAGTCTGAATAATTTCACAGAGCCTCTAAAATACTCTGGCATTTCACTCAAATTCATATATGCCACCAAGTTGCTCTCTCTTGCTTTGTGCCTGTCTGTTCTCAGCAGATTTCATATAGAGTTACTAAAGGTGAATATCATCTTCCTCTGAAAAATAATCCTGCAGAAATCAATGTGGAGTAATTGGGCTCCATGAGAACATTACTGTCAAGTCTAAGAATATATGGGGAGATAATCACATTTTATTTATTATTTATTTATTTTTCTTTCTTGTACATTTGCAGCATGTTCATGTCCACGTTCTTCCCAGGAGGGCTGGAGACTTTCACAGGAATGACAGCATCTATGATGAGGTGAGTCTGTCTGCCCTCTCAGATCTTCTTATTTGATCACAGGGGCTGTCGATGTGATGAAATCAACCTAATGAACCAGGTATCACCCTAGAGATGATTGTAAATGGGATTCTACTCCGTATCACTTGCAGAGTGGCAAGAGAGGCCAACAAGATAAGAATGGCCATTGTGGGAACCCAAGATAAATGAATTATAATGATTTTCTTTTTCAAACGAAACCCCATAACAACTGTATGTGTCTTTGTGATTTCTGCACTGTCATTCACTGGGACACTAAAGGTTTGTATGGTGATATGGGCCTGAATCTGTAGACAAGAAGACATACAGTGCCACCAATGGAACTCTAGCAGAAAGATAATATGATCTTTTTCGTCAAAGAACATCTATTCAAAGTGGAACTCCATAGGTTTGAATGATTGGAGTATAACTTGTATAACATGTCAGTAAGTAACTGATTTCTGGGTTCTGTCATTTAAAGAGATAAATGGCAAATGAAATGAGCACACCACGAATCAGCAAGAACCAGGTGACCTAAGGTGCTGTTGGGCGTGAGAACCTTCTGATATTCATTCGCCCTGTGAAAAACAGATAGCCTATCATGGGTTAGAAGGAGATAAAATAGAAGTCATCTTGGTTTATCTACTTATTCCAGACATGTCCCACACATATGAGAGTTTATGAAATGGGGTGAGTGCCCTAGAGTGCTTAGCTGAAAAGAGCCGTGGGGTTTGTTTTGGGCTTAACAAGGGAAAGTGCTTTGATTGATTGGGAATGTCCATCATGAGCATCAAACAGAAGAGAACGATATTCGCTTTCTGTTTCATACTTTGGCCCCAAACCTTTGAAAATTATTTCTGAAATGCCAGTACTTCTAGAATAAATGTATTTTAAAAAATAATTTAAAATATTTTAATAGTTTTGAATAATGTCAAAAATAGTTCTGAACTCAGGGCTTCACACTTGCTGGACAAAGTGCTCTGCTATTTAAGCCCTAATCCCAGTTACTTGTGATTTTTTTAGGCATTTTTTAAGAAGGGATCTTATATTTTTGTCCAGAGTGGCCTCTGACCATAATCTGACATAGCTAGATGGCAAATGTGTGTCACCACGGCCAATTTATTGATTGAGATGTGAGGGTTTCATGAACTGTTTTGCCCATACTGGCCTTGAACCACAATGCTTCGGATCTCCACAGTCTGAGCAGCTGGGCATGAGCCACTATACTGAGTCCCCAAAATGCATATTTCGTGCTAGTACTAGGGTTTCAACTCAGGGCCTGGATAACCTCCTGTTTTCATTCAAGAATTGCACTGTATCACTTGAACCACAGCTCTGCTTCTAGCTTTTTTTGCCTGGGCTAACTTCGCACTACAACCTTCAGATCTCAGCCTTCTAAGTAGTTAGGATTATAGGGGTGAGCCACTGATGCCCAGCTTCAAAATATTTTTTTAATTTTTTTCTAGTTTTTCATAGGACTCTGCCAGATAAACAGCCCCTACCCCCACTGTCTATCATAATTGTCTTCACCTGATCTCCAAGGGTCACATAAAGTCTATCTTTTTCTGTGGGTTGATAGGGTTTCTTTGCAGTAACTTATTGAAATAGTTACCAAACCCCGCAAAAAGACTGCAGGGTCAGCATGTAATGATGGAATTTACCATTAAGTTTTCTGAGACTCACTGGATCATTTGCAATGACAAGTTATGACTATAGAATGTATGTTTCACGATCTCATGCTTCTAAGAGCAGATTTGTGGATTTGTGTTGGGTGGAAATCTCCTGGTGATGGTACATCAGTACTGGTTTGTGAACCAGTTGCTGAAAAATTTCAGTGTGCCTAGAGATTATGGTACAGTAGCCAGTAAAGATAAATAGGCAGCAATCAATTATTATATACGTCTAATAAAACTCACAGGAGATTCTGGCACATGACTGGGTGTGGGAATAGACTCTGCCAAATCTGGGCTCTCCAAACCCATTCTATAATATTACAACTTGAACTCATTTCATTGGATGTAGAGTACAGGTTTGGGGGGGGGGTAAAAGGGCCAAGTCTATATTGGAAGAATCAGAGTTACAGCATAATTATAAAGAGATGCATTTAAAAATACAAGTACTAATCTTATTAACATAAACTTAGGTTAATAAAATGTTGCCAAGCACAGGTTATTTTAATGAATAAATTAGCACATGATTTATAGACAAGTGAATGCTTCTAGAGTAGAATTAAAAGTGCTTGAAAACACTGTTTTCTTAGGTTGAATGGTCACCTTGAAATCCTGTTTATTTTCCAAATGCAACAATGACAGAACTGCATGGACAAGTCATGATTGCCAACATTGCACTTGGTGTGTGACCTTTCTCTACTCTTACAATCTTTGTCCTTGTCTGCCTGCTCTGCTGGTATATCTGGTCCTAGCAAAACATATTTTATATATTTGGAGGAGCATCTCAAAACTAATTACAAAGAGTTATGTTTTGAATCATCAGGCAATTCAGATGTAGTACAGATAATGTCTACTGAAAAGAGATAATTATTATTATTTTATTATTATTATTACAAGACTATAAGGAAACTGAAATGAGGTTCATATCCCAGTGCCACCTTCTATCATGACATTGAGAAAGCTGCTTGACCTCTAGGTTTTAATTCTCTTGCCTTAAAATGGAAATCTTAGGTTCAGAAGACTGTCATTAGTATTTCATGACATAGTGTGTCTGAAATATTATTTCAGGGATTGGTCTATGATAGTCATTGATTAATAGGAGGTAGTTCTCAAGATGCTATTATTAGTAATTTTCTTTTTAAAAGTAGCAATGTGAGTAAATGGATGCCCCAGATTTTTAGCCAGTTCATTGAATTTTCTCACCCAACACTTTTCCCAGGGACCATGTTTCCAATTTTCTCTCTGCTATTTTTTTGTACATTTTTTATTGTAAAAATGCTGTACAGAGGGGTTACAGTTACATGAGCAAGGTAATGAGTACATTTCCTATTGAGCATTGTTGCCGCCTCCTTTGTTTTTCCCTTACTATCCCTTCCTCCCCAGCTCCACAGAAGTTGTAAAGTTCCTTTTCAACATAGTTTCCAGTACATCTCATTGTTATAATGGGTCAACCTGTATCCTTATTTAAGCATTTTGTTTTTTCCCTTCCCCTCCCTGAATTAGAGAAGTGTACATACAAGATGCAGGGCACCGACATCAAATACAGTGACAACAGGGGTTATACCATGTGGGAGGAACATACAAAGCAACAAAAAAAATCACACGGTTCATTATAAATACTCGTTCTTGGTTTAATCTTCCTCTTTTTAAAAAATGCTTCTCCAGTTTGAATACTTAAGGAAGTAAAGTCTAGAAAGAAAGAGGCATGGGAAGCATGAAACATTGCTCAGGCATTTTGGTACACGATGTAGTGTACATTAGACTGAGTGATCTTAATCGGAAATGATAGGGTGATGAGGTATGGCATTCTTTATACTGATGAAATCAATCACTGTGGATTATGCATCTCTTCATGACATGCAGCAAACAGACTGCCTCAGAGGGTGATGGGTGGGAAACAGGGACTGTAGGAGGTTGAACTCAATAAACACAAGGGTATTTCTACCACTGCAGCTGTAGAAAAGGATGCTGGAAAAGAATCTGAGGTTATGACAGCTAGAAATGTTGCCATATTTTTTGTACTGTTTATAGAAAGGATGGGGATACGCTGGAAAAGATTCAGAGAGACAGAGATTGGAGTAGTAACTTCTAAGAGATTGGAGAAGATTTGATGGTGATTTTTATACAGGTAAAAAGGATGACTCGAAGAGCGAAAGCAGTGAGTGTTTTTAAATATCAGTGTGCTAGTAGATAGAAATGGTATTAAAGAAGTTCTCTGCATCGCCAGAGAGAAGATCTGGAGTTATCAGGCTACAAGAAAGCAAATGTAAATCCATCGTAATGATAGATCAAATTTAGAGAGAGAAAAACTTCTGAGCAGTTTGAGTACATGGTAGAGGTGCAAGCTTTCATCATTAGGTGCCTTCAGGTAGAGAGTGGATGGCCTTGATTCTTCAGGAGGAATATTGTTTGTTCATTCCATGGACCATAGGATTCTGCAGTTCTCGTATTTGCAAATATGGCCCATTTGATCATTGCCTCCATTTTTAGGCTCTGCAGGTTCTATGACAAACTGGGGCAGTTGGGGGAAGGGGTGGGGAGGAAGGAAGGAGGTTGTTAGTAGTACAACAGCATTTTAGTTTTACTGCCTAATAAAACATGTTCTTTTTGTTTAGTACACGGAAGTACAAGATGTAACTCTTGACTTTTATGAGATCTCATCTATTGAATTTTCTCATTCCCAGCATACTTCCTGCTTTTTGTTCTCCAGCTCAGCATGACCTAGCCAGAGTCCATGGACTTTGCATGCCTTCTCATATGCGTTTTATTACTGCCTGCAAAGATTTTTTTAATGGTGTGTTTCATTTTTGACTGCAAAGTATTTTTAAATGAGTTTAAATGCTCTTAAAGCATGTCACTCATTCTGTAAGTCAGTAGAGTTCCTATGATTCTCCCTTTCTTACCCTGAGTCGCATTGCTTTTCTGGTCCCTAAGGTTAAGTTTGAAATTCCATTTTACCACTTCTCGCTGCCACTGAAATGTTACTATTCCCAGGATCCTTTGCCTGGTACACCATGTATGCCATTTATCTGTAATGTCCACTTCACCTTCCTACTTACTCACTCATTACTGTACCATGGCTCTGGGTAAGTTATTTAACTTCATATATGGATCCTGCTCACCACTCCCATAGCTTTCATTCTTTGCTTGATTTTGTCAAATATATTATTACTGTTCCCACTTCAGACCCCTTGAGCATGTTCTGAACCTGTAACATCTATCATCTTTCCTTCTCCACAATGTAGGTTCATGTCTTTATCCAAATCTCAGCTCAAGTCATGGGCATGGCTCAAACAGCCCATTTCACTGTCCTGCTCCATCTAAAACAATCTA